CCTTTCCATGCAATACTCACAACTCACCACCATATGAAATGCAACATGTATCAACACACAAACAAAAATCAATTTCAGATACGTATGCTTGGAATAATGAGTTGCATGCCATAATACTTCACTTAACCAAGACGAGAAGGAAGGTGATCAGTCTTCTTCCCTCTTAGTACCAATTCAGTATAATGGTGTACAATGCATCATTCACCAAATTCATGCACACACATGCCTATATAAACCTCTCAAAACATCAACCTCTCATCTCATACTACAAAATCACTACTATGCTTAAACAACTAATTAAAACCACATCAACATACAACATCCACAGAGGTAAGTACATTTCAAATCCACATCTCCATAATCCAATCCAAATCCATATAAACAACATATACATACATGCACATACATACATATATATATATAGAGTATATCTACCAAATAGCTCGGTATTTCCATGGCGTTACATGATCCCTATACTCAGTAGAATCACATTAATTATACTAGTCAACTAAGAGAAGATATTAAACTAGATAACCAAATACATACATGTATATATAAAAGTAATAATAAACTATGTTTCTATGCACAAAATATAATATTATATATATATATATACAGTCATCCAAAATAATAATACTCTTCTAGTGCCAGTCAAGTACAAACAAACAGTTACCTAATATGGTAACTCTAATACTAGGACAAAATTCCCCATCTCTTAATGGTCCCAGCAACCAGCTCCAACCTAACCCTGATTTATTCCCATACACAGTATGATTATCGCAATTCATTCACATGGAAACAAAAGGGTAAGCTAGAGTTCAATAATCAATCACGTAAGCATAAGAATAAACATCTATGCTACACCATAATCAAATCACCAATCATTCTCACAGAGTCACACCATACACTTTATCATACACTACTCATGTAATAAATGCAACTCATGACAGATATCAATGCATATCAATCATCTAATGCTCATCACACATTCACCTAGGAGATCTCCCTAACAACAAAGCAATATAAGAGACATCTCATCCTACCGAAACCACCTCAACCCTTTTCACGCCTAATGCATCTACTCGATCACAACAAATCGAGATATAAATCCCCACTCGAGTTTACTCAGATGATCTCACTTACACACTTGAAAGTCCGATTCTACCGTCAGGTATAACACAGTTGGATACTGGCTTTCCATGATCTTGGCATGCATTACCAAGTCACTTGTGGAGTTCTCCCACCGACTATCCGCAAGGAACCACGCACCTTCTCCAGTACTTGGTTAAGGGAATAACCCTTGACCTCAAACCTTGCTCCAACACTAACTAAGGACTTAGAGGAGACTCAACCAAACCAGTGGCCTATCCAAGCACCACTCTCACCCACAACTAGTGGCCTATCCAAGCACCACTCTCAAGAGACTCTATGTGAGCTCTTCCAGTTCAAAAACATTTTCCCTCTCCTCAAGTCCTAGGCTAAACACATGCCATAAGATCACATACAAAAATGCATCATACATCATACATGGTCAATCCACCACTATGATCAATATTATCGTCATATGAAAGTACATACCAAATCATGTTTAATCATTCATATATAGCATTATCAAGCATACATATGAATCAATCACCAATTTACATCATGTATCATACATATATGAACCATTATTCAACATAGTATCGTACCAATTTCTTAATCCACGTGATAATACTTAAAAAATCAAAATAACATGCATCTCCCTTTGACAACTGTCAAAGAAAATAACACGTAGAGAGTTATACTCATCCAATAAGCTCAAACCTATTTCAAAAGAAAGATAAGAGGATAATTTACAACTCTTATGAAGACATGAAATTATAAATAAATCATCTACTTGGCTAAAAATGTCAAAACTCGCAATAAATGATCAATGTTGACAGCTTGACTCCTGTTCACTAAAATAGCCATAACTAGTGTTCTAGACCTTCTTTTTAGGTGATTCCAACGTCATTGGAAAGCTAACATCAAAGGCTACAACTTTTATAAAGACATAAAAGTCTAATTCGAAAAACATAAAACCGCTCAGCGCCTCCCAAAGGGCTTAACCCTTTTAAATGGCTCAACCGTTTCAAAAGCACTCAACCCTTTGAAACGGCTCAGCCCTTTGGTGCCAGAAATCCCCTCTTTGTCACGCAGCCCTTAAAGGGTTCAGCCCTTTAAAACGGCTCAGCCGTTTGATGACAAAGACACCATGTTCTTCACCATTTTTGGACCTCCACACTTGAAACTCAAAAAAAAAAAAAAAACTACATGCAATGGAAGAGATAGCATCCATGCACCAAAAACAATTCAATTCAAGTCTTAGAAACAACATGCACTCATCCAATGCATCAAGATCAACCAAAAACCCCATTTTAGCTCGAAAACACGAAAATGAAAAGACCCCTCAAATCAACAAATCAATCTCCAATTCATGCATCAATTGAGTTTCTAAACTCACATGCAACCAATATATCACAATCCTAGCGTCTCTTACTTGAAAATTGGCTTAGAACAACCAAGAAGAGGAAAAAAGAAGAAGAAAAATTCCTGAACGGTCGACCCGCAAACTTCAATATGCCAAAATCAAGCTTTCTAGCCTGAATTCAAAGAAAAGACAAAAGAGATTAGTGAACTAGAAGAGAAGAAGAACCAAGCAGAGAAATTTGGAAAAAAAAGGAGCTCATGGATCCAGAGCTCTTCTCTCTAAAACTTCTATCTAGATTTTCTTTGAGAATGAACTTATGAGGTTTCGTTTTCAAAGAAAATCTTATATACCCTTCTCTCTAGAGTTAACTAAACTCTAAACAATTAACTTACTACGTTACACTAAACACAAAGATTAAAAATAATATGATGACAAAAATTAATAAATGTATCATTTAATGCGAGACAAATCTAAAAGCATACAAAGAGTTAATAAATAAATCAATAAATAAAATGTATAATTATATCAATTGAATTGAACAATGTACTATCTTTAAATTTTACTGTCATCATTGTATATTAAAATATTATATTAATTTTTTATTTATAAGATAATTTAAAAATAATCATTAATTTTTTAATAAGATACTTTATAATTTTTATAAAGTATTAATCTTATTTTTTATTTCTATTAAATAGTGTATTATTTTCTCTCACTTTTTAGACTCTCATAATTATTTATCATTTTTATCGGATTGGTGCATAAACATTTATTAAGATAATATACCTTATGAAGATTTAAAGATAAGTAAAAAAAAATTAAAATTGATAAATTTGTTTTATAAGTCCAATAAAATCAACTAACATAACTATTTATATTTATTCGTGTGATTCAATTAAAAATAATTTATAATAAAGATAAGAGAGAGTAATTGTGTGAAACAACTATTAATTTGAATGATGTCAAAATTTAAATTTATAAACATTAAACTTATAGAAATATAATATTTTTAATAATATGATATCCTAATTAAGTATTTATTTAAGAGAAATGTTTGAAACATATTTTTTTTGAACACACTCTTTTTAATTAGTTAGAATTTATTGAAAAATATTAAAAAAAATTATTGAGTCTCACACTCTATTTAATGTCTCTCTCTTGATTTTATGATTTTTAATAAATTTTAACCAAAAAGACAAAATGTTTTAAGATATATGTGTTACATAATTTGTTGCTAGCATTCCTTATCTGATTAATAATAAAGTTTAGAGAAATAATAAAATACTTTTATCCATATTTTGAAATTACTAAAACTTCTCTCATATTATAGGCTAAGAGTGTGTTTGGATAGTGAATTTAAATGGAGTAATTCATCTGTTTGAAGAATTTCAAATTGTTTGAGGTGAAATATTTTATTTGGATGGAGAATTTACAAAGAATTTAAAATCCAAGCATTTGTGAAATTCCTTGAAATAGTAAAATTTTAAATTCTCTCAAAAAAGTAAGAATTTAAAATTCTTCACATTTTTTTATTTCACTTATATATTTTATCTTATCTCTTCACGTTTAAAATTATTAAATATTATCTAATAAATTTTAACCAAAAAGACAAAATGTTTTAAGATATATGTGTTACATAATTTGTTGCTAGCATTCCTTATCTGATTAATAATAAAGTTTAGAGAAATAATAAAATACTTTTATCCATATTTTGAAATTACTAAAACTTCTCTCATATTATAAGCTAAGAGTGTGTTTGGATAGTGAATTTAAATGGAGTAATTCATCTGTTTGAAGAATTTCAAATTGTTTGAGGTGAAATATTTTATTTGGATGGAGAATTTACAAAGAATTTAAAATCCAAGCATTTGTGAAATTCCTTGAAATAGTAAAATTTTAAATTCTCTCAAAAAAGTAAGAATTTAAAATTCCTCACATTTTTTTATTTCACTTATATATTTTATCTTATCTCTTCACGTTTTTAATTATTGAATATTCAAAAATATTTTTAAAATTATTAAATATTATCTAATATTAATTTTTAAAATTATTAAATACCTAAAAATTGGCTAATATTATTTTCATAAAATTTAATTTAAAAATCTCAATATATAAATATTTTTAAAATCAATTTTACCACAGTAAAATTAAATTATCATATTCAAACTAATAATTTAAATTTTGAATTGACTTATCCAAATAAAATATTTTAAGGATGATAAAAATTGAAATCAAAATAATTCAAATATCAAAAATTTTAAATTCTTTAAATTTATAAAATTTCTCATCCAAACAAAGCTTTGAACCGTGAAGAACATAGTGTTTTATTTTCTTCTTTTCAATCCCTTCATGTAAGAGTTATGACTCGTATATGAATATAAAAAGATATATTTAATTTATTTGGAACACGCGTGTATGGTGAAAGCATAAGTCTAGAGGCATTAGATTACACGAAGTAGTGACTAAGCAAGATGACGAGATAAAGAGGTCACTTTTTCACTCATTTCCTCCAACCTTCCTTCATTCACACTATAATATATTTCACCACCCAAACCATTTCATTTTCATTTTCATTTTCATTTTCCCTCACAACAACAATCTTCAAATGGAACCAACAACGTGCCTCAATCTTAACCTCGATCCTTCGAAGCACATGGACGATGTTTTGTTACAAGAGTTGCGTCGTCTAAGTTGCGAGAACAAGAGGTTGACCCACATCTTGACCCAATTGTGCGACAATTACATGGCTCTGCAAAACCAATTGAACCAATTGATCAACAACACAGATTTTGAGCAAGACCCAATTGAGTCTCGCAAGAGAAAATTAGCTCATGAATCTTGCACCATCAAATTCAATGCTGAGTGCAGCTCCATCACCCACAAAGATTTCAACTCCTCCCCTAAGGTTTCCAAAGTTCTTGTCAAGACCGAAGCATCTAATAATAGCTTAGTAAGTTCCTCAAATGAATACTCATTGCACACAACTTTTCTCCCTTAATTTAATTTCAATGGTTAAATTTAACGATTCCAACTACTAATTGGGATTTCTGAATTAAAGTATGTCATGGATGGATATCAATGGAGGAAATATGGTCAGAAGGTCACTAGAGATAACCCCTCTCCTAGAGCTTACTTCAGGTGCTCCTTTGCCCCAACCTGCCCCGTAAAAAAGAAGGTAATTTTTCATAATCATTATTTAAACTAATTAATCCGATAAACTATTATTTTTATGATATAAATAAAATTATACAAATAGATCGACAGTGGTACAAAACTATTTTATATTATAATTGTATTATGATTAAACTCGTTAACAAGATCAAACATTGAATATGTGTAAATTATGATTACCCAATTTGATTTAGGTGCAAAGGAGTATAGAGGACCCTACAATACTTGTAACTACTTATGAAGGAGAGCACAACCATGGTCGACAGCAAGCAGAAATATCACTTGTATCAAAGCAAAGTGAAAATGAAACCCCTAAAGCTAAAGGGTCAAGTCCTGTTTCCTCACCTACTACTACTCCCACCGTAACGCTTGATTTGGTCAACTCAGGATTGGTTGAAAATGGTCAAAAGTCCTCTATCCAGCAGTTTTTGGTTCAACAAATGGCCACTTCTTTGACAAGGGATCCCAATTTCACAACAGCTCTTGCCACTGCCATTTCAGGAAAAATTCTAGAGGCCAAATGGTGAATTAAATTTAAAGAACAATTAATCTTCTTTATTTTAATTCTAAGAGAGACTATTTACTTAAAGTAAGTTCAAGTTCAAGCACAACTGCACTGAAGAGGGATGGTATTACTCTGTCTGCTGCTTTTGAGAGGATGCAGAGGCAAATAGTTGGAATGTATATAGAAAATTCACTTGAAAAAAGAATTAAAAGTTGCAATTTCTGTGCCTCTTGGTAATATACATGTTCTGGATTTCCTTTTGTGAAATAAATTTGTATAAACTTCTTTTTTTCCCATCTATGAATTTAATTACAGTTCAATCTCTCTATACAACAAGTAATTAATTAACATACCGTGTGTTTGGGGACAGTACAAGACCATCTAATGCATTTTATTGAAATATAAGGCCAAACTAGTTAGAGGTTGCTTCCACTATAAACACGTATAAAATGTGTACAAAATAATTAAATAAAAATAAAAACAAGAATATATAAAATGTAACAAAAGTTATTTTCACCCTTTTATTAATTTAAATATTATATATATATATATATATATAATTTTATTATTAGACAAAACTTAAAGCCAAACTATTGAGAAATTATGAAGACTAAATGTGAGTTATTGAAATTTAAGACTAAGAAAGCCAATTCACTTAAGCTAAAGTATAAGGTTTAAAAGTGTAATTATCATTGCTATAATGAAGGAAATATTTGTACTTTAGCGTGTATAATCACTTGAATCCTTAGATATACTCGAATTCACAGTCAAATGTTTTGTCTATGCCTAATCCACAATTGGGAACCTCCTTCATGTACCTCCTTAACTCACATCCAACTCGAATCTAATATCTTATATGTACATTTAGAAAGACAACAACAATATATTTACTATATGAAAATATTGAAACACAACAACTTTATGATTTGTAATTGAGAATTATGAGATATTTTGGGAGTGCATATTCCTAATTATTGTTGTAGAATTGTCTCTAGGAATATATCTAGCACAACTTTAGGAAGGTAGGAAATTTGATTCCCGTGTTCACCTTGCATATATTATTGTCAAAGTTGCGAGTACAAGACAGAAAAATTCCTACTACAATTGTGGCTTGTTATGGTATCTACTAAATTTAGTTTGAATGCATAAATTTCACTCCATCTTGAATAGTCATATACATTGTAGACTTAAAAGTACATGAAGCTAACATTATTTGTTAAGGGAAAGGTACATTAACTACAAGAAAATATATACTAACACTTATAAATCGGATTATAAAAAGAGACATTTAAATCTTTTCTTCCACCAACATAATACATGTTTTAAAAGCTAGAGAATATTAATCATTGCCCAAGTATGTATTTATTCTATAAATATGAACTTCTCACTAATATAATCATTCAAAGACTATTATTCACCTCTTCTCACTTCATAATCTTCCTCATCCTCTTTTAGTGACCTACTAATAATCTTCTTCATATTTTTGTAGTGGCTTATCAAATTGTTATGATAATATAATCATATTTTGGTAGGTCACTAGAAGAAAATGATAAAGATTATGATGAAGAGAGGTGAATTGATGGAATCATGCTTTGGAGTACAAGAGGTGACATACTCAAAGATCCAAGAGGAGTGGGCTAGACATGGAAGATTGGGCCAGTCTAGGTCCAATGGGCCCTATGGCTTTGAAGGCCCAAACCAAGTTTTCAATATGGGCCTATCTTGTTATGAACAATCTTATTACATTTTGTTAGCATAGTTTGAATATATTTTGGTCTTGTATTTTGGACCATATAGAGTAGCATTTTAGGTTGTAGGCTAGTTGGGCCTAGTTTTGGGCTTCATGGGCCTTTGGGCTTTTGGTACCCAATATTGGGCTCATTTTAATTCTTGTAATTTTTCCTTTCCATTGTATTTGATTGACCATTGTATTTAGGTCATTAGATTAGGAAAATACAAGAAAAACTAAAGTAGGCTAACTAGGTTACATTGAGTTTAATTTGGAAGCCATTTAAGTTACATTTGAGTCACATGTTTTGCACCAATGGGTGGCTGAACATGTGACACTCAAATTAACCCTAAATGACTCTCAAATCAGACCTAGATGCACAGGATCACCTAAACTCACGGCCACACTCATGTGCATCAAAATTTGAATTCAAATTTCAAATTTGAATTCAAATTATAGGCGTCATTTTGTGTAGTTTGGTTTAGGCGCCTAAGTGTCTCAAAACCGTGCCTACTTAAGCTTGTCCTTCACCTATTGTAATCACTTTTGAATATATGAGAATTTCTGAACATTACCTTCAGCTAATTCCCTCAAGAGTCACCGAAATATCCAAGAGAGAAAACCTAAGAGAATGCCTTCAAAAACCTTAGGAAAACCTAGTTTCCTTCACTTTGAAGTGTGCAATCCCTTGAGTTCTTGAGCTTGG